TCCCTGTCTATATGTTTCCACCCATAGTATGGGTTAAACTACCTGTAATTGGCCATATTTGTGAATGAACATGCATGAGTGAATTAAGGGTTTTAGAAGAGTATAGTATAAGTTGCATCATAGTAATTAGTTTGTTTTCTCTGCTATTTGTTAAAGAATAAGTGTGTTTACAATCACTAGCATTATTTTCTTGCTAATGATGAAACCCTGGTGTGAACTGTTTTTTCTTGAATAGTACACAGTCAGGTAAACTGATCATCTTGGTGGCTTAAAATTGGGCATTTACACATTCATGATCTCTAGAATAGTGGGGCTTGACTATTTGAGCATTCTTCCCATTTAGGCCATAACACAAGTGCCATGCATATCACCCTTTAGCAGGAAAGGTAAAACGGGCATGAGAAAAAGGCATTCCAAAATACTCCTGTACACTTCACATTAGTCAGTTACACAATATGATTTCAAAGTTGGAACTGGTTTAGAAAAGGTGCTTTTCCTTTTTAGAAGCATAAAAAGGTAAGAAGTATCCAAAGGGAATGGAAGGAGTGCATGATCTTCCATTCTGAAAATATCTAAAAATTACCACATTATGTTACACTAATCATTTATGTGGTTTCTAAATACAACTACTGTTTGTATTGACATCTGATGTGATAAAACAGTCTAGTCCAAATCCTATGGCCCATTTAATGAGGCTACTTTTTAAAACTATATCATTCTCCATGCACACTTTTGAAACTAGCTATACAAACCTATGCAATTATTTTTAAGAAATTCTTCCAGGTCTTAGCATCAGACAGTTCACTGAAATGTTTTTAAAATCTTTGGAAAATAAGTGATTGCAATAATCCACAGCATTATTTAACAGATATTAAGCCATTAGCTTATTCCAACGAGTACAGATGGTGCAATTTTTTTTAAATTGAATGTAAATGCAAGTCAAATTTTAAAATCATCAGTTCAAATAACTTCCCTTCTACCCTTCTTCGGTTTGATTGTCTAATTCAAATTTCAGTTACCATATATACTCGAGTACAAGTCAACCCCCTATTTTCGGTCAAAAAATCTGGAAATTTCCCTTATATCTCATGTAAAAGTCCACCCTAGTTCTTCACAGATAACAGATCAATATTTGTGAAAAAAGGTATTATCCTGTACATAAATGTTATGAGGAAAATTTTTTTCATGCTATTATGTGCTTTGATGTACAATTCTCACCAATTTGGTGCAAAAGTTTAATGTGCATCAGGTCAGAGTCAGGTGACAACCTTCCTTTGTGTGCTGCTAGGCTGAGCTCAGTACTCCTATAGCACTCGAGGAATACAGTCATATACCTTGGTGAGGTTTTGAAATTTCTTCATCATTTTGTGTAAAAATGCCCTCCAGAAAAAAAAACAAAATATACAGCAGCGTTTAAACCATGGTAATGTGCAACTTTTTGCTCAGTTTTTTTAAAATCAAGACAACATTTGGTCCCCATATTGGTTTTCAAAACCAGTTTTGTTCTGCAACTGACCATTTGTCATCTTTGTTCCTAGGCAAGACATGGACTGCATGTTTCACCAAGAGAGCGGAGACTAAAACAATTTGCATATATGGTGCTTTTACTGCATTAAAGGCAATAAAAGGTACTCCTCAAAGGAGAAATCAAGCAAAATTCAACAAAGTTATAGGAGATATTAACGGTACAAAAACTTAATCAAAAAGGGAACTCTAAAAAAGAATGATCTTAAAGAAAGTAGAAAAACCAAGAGGTTTACAGAAGAAATTCCTTGTCAGCTCACAGCATAGTCACCAACGCAGTAATGAAAATTGAGGACATAATAACCAGGACTGAAGAATGTGCTGGCGCAGAGTTCTTGGTAGATGTTCCACAGATAAGGAAGGTCAAGGCCATGGAAGGATTAACCACAGCAGATATAAAAGAATAAGCACAGGCAAGAAGATTGACACAAGTCAGGTTACAGAATGCAGAGTTTTGGATCAGCTTAATTACATGCAAAGGGCAAAGTGGAAGGTCAGTCTCAAGAACTTTGGAATTTAACACAGTTACCACTGCAAACATTCCCTGCAACTCTTTCTTCATTATTGGACTGAAGAGAGTCAACCCAGAAGGATGGGTATGGCTGTTGTATATCCAAGCCAAAGTGGAATGTGCAAGGCATCACTTCATCAACCAGTCTGTTCAGACAAAATCTGAAGGACTCTCTGTTCCTTTCCCTCATCATCGGACTGCCCTAAAGAATTTGATAATTAGGAGAGCTAAATGTAAACCCAACTGAGCATTATAATGCAAGCCATAAATTCTTCTCTGGTCAAATATTCTAAAACCAAATTTCAAAACATGAAATTAGTCAACCTGATGATAGAAAGAAGAAAACTGGAGAGCTAGTCAAGCTACTCAGTTTGTATACTCTTTATGCTGTATTAATCTGGCAATTACGGATCTCTGACTGAACTACTACTCGGATCGAGATCAAAAAATATTGCATATACACTGTCCGTTTGGGGCTGATATATCCATCGTTAGATGCAAAATTAATCTCAGCAGTGGAAATTCAAGATGTCCAAGTATGTAGGCAGTACGTGCACTAATACATACAAATTAATTACACAGTGGACTCAAGGACAATATTCCTGCTAACCTTTTTATTCTTCTGCACGAGCCAAGTTCTGTGTGTAGCAGCAATTTCCAGAACCGGAAGTCAATGATACAAACCGTGTTGGCAAACCGTGTGCAAATCCTCAGAGCAGCACGGTTTAGAGGGAATGTTGCTCAAAAGACCTTTCAGCTTTAAATAAGCTTAGAACTTTTGAACTCCATTATAACCCATGCAAAGTCAAAGCCAGTGTGAGACTGTATCTACTGGGATATTAAATGGAGTTTCTACCCAGAGTTAGGTTGGGTCCAAACTCTGGAGTAATGCAATAATTTCAGCATCACACTTGGGCATCTCACAAACCTTCAAACAGGTTTTGGTACTTCAAATAAAAAGAGAGTGTGAAATAGCTTACAAACTGAAGAAGTTTCACTTGTTGAGTTCTTAGTGATTCATTTTTCATGAACTACATTCATTATTTACTGATCTATAATATATTAAATGAACCGATTTCTAGAATTGCACAACTCTGTAAAATAGACTGAAAAGTATTTAGGAATTAGGTCAAAAAGAACTAAAATTCTCATCCCAAAGGTATTTTGTTAAAATCAGAAAATAAGGGAAGCAGGTTATCTAATTAGTCTTGGGCTAATATTAAAATTGAAGTCTGCCAAAGGAATATTATTAACAGAGTTGAATCTGACTGACCTTCATACAGAACACAAAACTAAAGAAAAACTTTACAATATATCCACAGCAGCAAAAATTCAAATCTTTCTTTATAATGAATCTCCAATTGATTCCTACTTTTTTATTCTATTAATTTCATAACATACAGAAATAATTGTTAATTCTCTAAAAATTCAGGTTTGGTATAACCTTCCGGTGAGAAAGGGTTTGGATGGTTTCCACTTCAGACTTCCAGCAACTACAATATTTTATTAAGTGGTGAGGATATTGAGAGCAGAGCTGCAGATAAAAGTCACCATTTCCAAAATACCTATTATGCCCTATTATTTTAAATATATTTTGAGGTTGTGTTATTTAAAATTAAATAGCTAAATATAAAACAAGTTTGCAAAGAAATTGAACTAGTTGGAGAACAAGAGCTTCTCTGCAACAGAGGCTGAGGAGCTAGGAAATGTAGAGGCTTAATCAATCCTCGTTAACGGATGTAAAATACACTGTGAGAAGTTCACTGAGTGAAGTAAACCAAAATAGATTTTAGGAACTAATAAAATCTTTGTTGCCATTAGGCTAAGTGCTAGTATAGAGCTCCTTATTCAAAATGGTTCCCTGATTGCAGAGGAGCTATTAGTATCTTGAGTATTGGGAGCCAAAATACTTCCTATTCTTACTTGGTCTGGCCTACTTGCGACTCCAGACCCACAGCAATGTGATTGACTTTTAACTGCCCTCTAGGCGTGGGATGGCAGTAAATGCTGCCTTGCTAGCAACACCCACATCCCATGAATAAACAGTTTTTAAAAAAGTAAAAATGTTCATTATTTCAGCGGGTTTTAAGGCAAGTGACAGTATGGCTTTCTGGAAGGTCACATTTTTAGGTTACTATTTGCTAGACAGTCTTTTGGACACTTTTCCTGAATAATTTCAGACAGCTTGGCAATTTCACACATTTCCTGCTCAAAAAACTTGTTGAAAACATTGAGATCTAATATAGCACAGAACTCCGAAGTCTACTTGGGGACCATAAAATGGAATGCAGACAGTTGTACATTTCTGCTTGAAAATGAAACCTGAAAATTATGCCTGAACTTAGCATTTTGCTGTTCTTGAGTCATGTTACTACATTCACATTAAATAAATGATCCCATTGACTACTTAGTGAAGGCTTAGGATTACAGTTTTGAAATTAACACTGTACGTTTTAATGGCTATCCCTAAAAGCAAAGCTATTCATCTGTAGTGACTCTTCTATGTTGTGGCTGTGTACACAGCTAATACTATGGTAAAATGCTGTGTGGTGATCTTCGCAAGAACCATTAGAGATATCCTGCATAAATTTACTGCCACCAAACCCCTTCCTTGCCGTTAGTATACGTACTGATGCTAAGTGGGGAAGGGTGCCCACATGACACCTTCAGGAAAAGATATAGTTAATCTTGATAAATAGTAAAGCTTGATACATAGTACTTAATAACTAGTTGTTACATTACATCTTAGATAGATGATTGTCTCTTGAGAGACATCAGGCTCATTTAAAATTACACATTGCTGCCAGTGAAACATTCTGGTATATAACTTTAGAGAGCACTGAACAAATAAAATACTGGTTAGCTCTTCCAAGAAACAGTCCTTTATATCCTCTTTGGTGAAGCTTATATGATGATATCTTTTATGACAGTGAGTTCTCCACTTCACCCTGAAACTCAGCAGGCAATACTCAACCCTGGCTAAAGATGGGTATGGTGACTCTTTCATCCTTGAAGTGAGGCTGGGTAAGGCCCAAACTGAGGCAAGAAGAAACTGAAGTACTGAGTGTGGCCAGCTGTTTTCAGATAGGGGACTCAAAACACAAAAGAGCTGCTGTTGAGCAAGCTGGGTCATGGGCCTGAACAAGTATCCGTTACAAACGGTCTTAGTTATTGGCGCCATATTTTGCAAGTTCAACTCTTGCTTCTTAGAACCTACCAGTTCCTCAGATCAAGATAATCTGGTCTGTTGTGTGTTTCTGGGTTACATGGATCCAAAAACAAAGCAAAGTAGTAAAGTCTACAAACAATACTAAAGTAGGCGATGTAATGGAATGAGACCATGGGTACTAAAAAAAAAAAAGTGGGTGCAAATGGGCAGAACAAAGCAAGACATTGGGCTCCAATAGCAAACAGTACAGTATATATTAGATGACAGGTAGTCAGCTACCAGATAACTGAAGTACAGGTGTATTTACCGTCACTGAATTCTTCACGCTTCTGCAGAAAATTAAAAATATAGAAAGCAATCCAAATTCAGTGTAAGATTCAGAACTGGCATGAGAAGCCCTCATTTTGTAGCAATCATCACTTTTTCTTGATAATCTGAATATTTACTTGGGAAAGTTTTGAATCTCATTCATTCCATCAGTCTTCATACGGTTTCTCAACATGACATGTCTGCAGTAACAAAACCTATCCATAATGAAAACATATAATTTACTTCATGCAGGATGACTCAACAAAATCTGTAGATAACATTCTACTTTTTATTGTCTTGTAGCAGGCAGAAAGTAGTGGGGGAGGAGGAGGAAAGGAAGACGTAAATACGCTTTTGTTAAAATTGTACTGTTAAAATTGTTACTGTTAAAATTGTTACTGTTAAATTCTGTTAAAATTGTACTAGCAAATGTTGGAGTAACTGACTCAGAATTCAGCTGGTAAACATATTCTGTCAGATTTAATTACAAGAGTTTAATATTTGTGCTTCTGAATATGTACATTAAGGCAAACTATAGGATTACTACCTCACAACTATGTCACAAATTAATATTTGATGTCAAGAGATGGCATCATTCCACATCAGTTGAAGGGCTTTGTATTTGACAATAGTTACTATTGGTGATTTGGTATGATGTATCGCTCAAACTGCTTTGAAGGCTTATTTGGGTCCATTGATTATATTGCACAAGTTCAAGTAACACTTCAGAATAAATTGGTAGAGCATTAGTAGGACTGGTACTACTTCAGAATTTGGGGTCAGAAAAGAAAGTAATTTGATATACTTACATACTGCTCAAGGATTCATAAGACAGTCACATTTCCTTAAAATTAAGCATCCATGAGAGACTAAACTGAAATTTGGCAATAAAAAAAAAATCACATTGTCCTACCAGACCATAGGGCTGTTCTCTCAGAGAGATAACTGGAGCTGGTTTAACCTGAGGGCCACCACACCTCAGGCAAGGAGAGTACCATCATGATAACCTCAGCCAGTGCAGTAAATGAATCTATGCTGTTGGCAACAAGCTGCATCACAACCCAGCCATTCAGCCAACTGAGTAATAGTGCTTCATCTTGTACAAACTGAACTTCGATTACTTTTGACTAGAGATGCATGTCAACAGTATAACTCTGTACTTCCTTTTTACAATACTTTAAAAACA